ATACTGGTATATAAACTAAAATATGCACCTAACATCATATGCCCGAGACGACACTGAGGTGAAAATGGACTTTTTAAAAATCTTCTCTAGGAGCCCAAAATGTCACACAAACACAGACACACATACACTCATACACACACACAGGCACGCACACACACGCACGCACGCACACACACACGCACAAACAACACACATACACACACAAGCACATACACACATACACACGCACAAAGAACACACATACACACACAAGCATGCACGCAGGCACGCACACACCCGCACGCACACACACAGGCAGACACATACTCATACACACACGCACAAACAACACACATACACACACACGCACACACGTACAAACAACACATATACACACCCACACACGCACACATGCACCCACACACACACACGCACACACACGCACAAACAACACACACACACACACACACACACACGCACACACACGCACAAACAACACACACACACGCACACACACACACACGGACACGCGCGCACGCACACATATACACGCTCACACACGCACGCACACACACACACACACATGCACACGCAAGCACAAACAAACACATACACACACACTCACGCACACACGCACAAACAACACACACACTCACACACAACTACAAATTGTTGTCTGTATTGACCACTTTTGCGATGTAGGCTCGGAGTCTTGTGAACCTAAGGATTGACGACCGCATGGCTAGGAGCCCAACATAAGTCTTCACATTCAGTCGCAGAATCGGGATACAGTTATAATTAGAGAGGGAAGGGAAGGGGGAATTGGCGTGGGTGATAGATGATCGACACCTACATACGCCCGCTAATTAAGTGTTTTGTATGCTGCATATGGCGTTTTATAGCAACTAAGCTGTAAGGTGCCGTGAGAGCACCCGCCAGTCGTTACGAATATGCAAATATATTTTAGATGCTGGCAGGTTTAATATATTGGGTAATGCTGGGCAAGAGGGGAGGGGGGAGGCGGGTTGAAGAAAGTGGCCCTACTGAGCAAGTCAATGGAACACTGAATATTGCCAGATAGATAGACAGACAGACTGAAACACATGTTGAAATAAAGACAGATGGACATTAAGATAATTAGGAATTCAGGAGCACAGACAAATTAAACGACAGACAAATAGGCGGACTGATAGACAGGCGGGTAGACCTGAATTACAGATTAGTTTTTAAAAAAAGCTCATTTAAGTAGCTACGCAGGCTGGTGACGCAAAGGTGCTAGGTTCGAATTCGTTTCTAAGCAAGTAATTATAATTGTTCGGTCTCTTCCAGGTGGGCAGAGCATGAAATAGGAACGACATAAAAGTAAAGGTGGCCGGCATAATAATGACAGCTAGTCACCGTGGTGTAGCGGCTAGGCGCACACAACTGGTACAAAGTAATAACATCTTCGGATGAATGAAGAAGACAGACAGACAGACAGACAGACAGACAGACAGACAGACAGACAGACAGACAGACAGACAGACAGACAGACAGACAGACAGACAGACAGACAGACAGACAGACAGACAGACAGACAGACAGACAGACAGACAGACAGACAGACAGACAGACAGACAGACAGACAGACAGACAGACAGACAGACAGACAGACAGACAGACAGACAGACAGACAGACAGACAGACAGACAGACAGACAGACAGACAGACAAAATGAATGAAAAACGGAAGAAATAGAGATTTTGGAAAAGAGTGAGTTTTGCAAAAGTCTGTATGAGTGTATTTCCTACTTTATTGTAAAGAAAGAATAGGATATATATAAAAATTCCTAAAAACAACAGTTGCATATTTGCTTTAAAAAAAAAAAATAAACAACGCAAATCGAGTCTGGCCCAACTGACAGATTGCGCTTTGCATATAAGATCGTTTAGTTAGTAAAACGAACAGACATCAAAATAAAATAAAGAGAACGACCACATATTTGGACTTCCCTGGATACAGGAACCGCAAAACGTCAAATTGAAAATAGGACGGGTGGAAAAATGCCTCATCTATCTCTATTGTGGCGATTATTCCAATTCCACCCAGACATTGCTTTGACGAGAACAGAATAGAATTTAATGAAAGTAGCTCGGCGATCGTGCGAAAATTTAAATGCGCAGCTATGGGGATACCGGGCGAATGTGAAAATGCTGTAATTCCAAAGAGCGTATGCATTACAATGCTGGAAAGGGCAGTTAATATGCTGGGATTCGGGAATTTAAATACTTGTACTGGGGAAAATTTTTATGTTTGTGGTGATGATCCTGTTGGCAGGCGAGTGGTTTATTGTTATGTTGTATTCCCCTGTCGCTGTATTGTTTTGTTGAATTGTTTGCGCCACGCATTGGCTCTTGGTGATGCGTCAGTGATACAAGTGGTGGCTTTTTCGTTTATTGAAGCCTGTATGATTAGACTCTTACTGACATCAATGGTATTGGACCTCTGTCCTGGCTGCTGAAGATGAGGTCAAAACGTTAATGGAAATTACTAGAGTGCTGTGATGTCACTGTTCACCTTGTGTGGTTATTCATAGGTCATAAAATACGATTGAAACTGGCACAATTGGTATTGTAATTCTGCTCTGGCTGCTGCAGATATGGAGGGGGCGTTTATTAGTTTGGACTGAGCTCTATGATGACGTACTATAACTCATATTACCTTTAAAAGAATACCATATGTGTCAGAAGTGTGTGTGTGGAGAAAGGATGAGAGGGGTGGGTGATGGGGGGGGGGGGGGGGGGGTTGGATATTTGTTTTGAATGGGCATAAGAGTGGACTGTTAGGCAGACAAGAATAGATATCCCAATAAATTCATCACGAGTAACTCGCCTAAGCTTTTTTGTGTGCCTGTCTATAGGGGTGTTTAAATGCAATGAGCGTGCATATATATATATATATATATATATATATATATATATATATATATATATATATATACAATGATATATATATATATATATATATATATATATATATATATATAAACATACTTTAAAAATAATTTTCGTAAATGGTTAAATGTGGTTTTACAGTACATTAACAACATTATAGGGGATGTGGGTAGGAGGTCGATCTCTCTTAAAAAGGGCGATTGGGGCGGGAGGAAGGGGGGGGGGGGGTTATTAAGGGACCTGATATAAGCGTTACTACTATTTTTAATAATTCAAAGCTACAGACGGAGACTTAATTAGCAGAGCTTTATCCCCTATTTTTGATGGGCTGGTCTTCTCCCAAAGCGTTGAATAAAGCAAGGAATTCCGCAGCTAAATATCGACCCAGTCAAAATTAGTTGTGTATCTTTTACCGGACGTTGCAAAACCAACCCCAGCTTTTATGCTATTGTGGTTTTCTAAGGTAAATTTTGCGTTTAGTAGTTTGCCATTGTTTCTGAACAGGTCAGCTCTTGTTACCACTGTCGAAACCAACGCAAGGCAAATCGTCCGCAGCTGGGATCTAACCCAGCACCTGGGCATTACGAAGCGCGTTCGCAACGCCTAAGCCAATCGACCTAGTAAATAACCAGCAACAACAAAAAAGTACATTCTATACGTTTTTCAGTTCAGCAAGATCGAATTAAACTTAACACAGACAACACAGAGCCTTCTACGACATGCTTGTAAATGGGCTGTAAGTCTCTCTCTCTCTCTCTCTCTCTCTCTCTCTCTCTCTCTCTCTCTCTCTCTCTCTCTTAACAAAGCCATGAAACCACACAGGAATTGGCCTGTTAAGAAAACAAAACAAATGCATTCATCCGAATGAAATTAAACAAGTTTCAGAGGCCACCAAGTGCTGCTTTAGATATACTACAAAAAATGGATCTGTTGAGGGAAATGTCAACCTTGGTTTTCTCATTTCAAACCAAATCTCCCCAGGGAACAGTTGAAGCTTTAGAAGGTTACAGTAACCAAAATGATGTACTAAAATCAGGGTGTCAATGAACTGATGACTGTTGGGACCGTTACATGTTTGGGAGTAGTGAGTAAGGGAAAAAACAAACAGCACTGGCCTATATTCTTCAATCAGTGAAGTCGTAGCATTGACGCATTCTGTTACAGTTTGCTAGTAAATGTAATGATGGGGATATTACTGATAATCTTCTTCTTCTACTTCGCGTTCACCAGCTGTACACTCTGGCGGAAAGTTCTGGTTGTTCGTCCACACCTGGACTGCAGTCCTGCTTCAGAACCTGAGTGTTGCATGTGCATCAGTTTTACAGATCTGATTCACTTGAATGCAGACTGTTGGTTCCTTGCCTCTCAGGCAGATGCACTCCAACTTCAAAGGAAGCTACCAATTAGTCGACTCTTAAGACATGTTTTTTGGTAGGCAGTGGGTCTATTCTTGTTTTCTCCCACAATGGGGCCCCGGATCCCACACGGGGAATTACTGTTAATGACTGTAACGATGATAGCCATGAGTGAATGGCGACAACCCCCACCAGGACCACACCACGAGCGATTGAGGCCCGGTGACGCAAAGTGCCACCATTCGGATAAAAATCCCCCATGTACGCGTCTCAGAAACCCCTTCAACTGTTATTGTTATAGTAGGACCCCTGACGGCAGCTGGGACTATAGAATAACAGAAAATTGAATTCCATAATGGGGCACTGTTGTCATGATAGTCATTATAACAATTGCGATTGTTGTTAATTCATCGATCACTAATAAATAGCATACCTTCATAAGTAATGCCACTCCAAAATGGAGGCGAACAAAATGATATAATATAATGACTAATGTAGAGCTTTGGGAGAGATATAAACAAATTCTAGTGAATCAAAGAGCGAAGGAAAGACAATGATGTTGAATAGAGAATTCGTTGAGGAAACCTTATATCAGCATAATTAGAATGTCTTTGCACCTATACCGCCAGGTGAACGAAATAAACAGCATCTAAAACCACATGAAGAATAGAACTCGAGGGTGATGCAAGCGTGTGTCTAGATATATATCTTATCTCTTTAGTTTACTAAATTATTACCCTGTAATGTTGATCAATGTCCGTAGGCGGCTATCCTCCGAATAACGGGCACAAAAGATGGCTGCCAATGGCAGCCAAAAACAGGGCCTCAGTCACGTTTCAATTGCGTACTTCCGGCGACTTAATTTGCGGTTTTCCGGCGACTACCGCCACCGCCGAGTGTATCCCCCACGCCGCGATAAGGGCTAAATTAGATGGCTAGGACTCACGAGCAAAGCTGAAGGAGATGCAGAAGCTGCTGCTCGTGAGTCCCAGCCATTTAGTTTAGCCCCAGCCCACGTCGCGTGAGCGGCGTGGGGAATACTCTCGGCGGTGGCGGTAGTGGCCGGAAGTGCGCAATTAACAAGTGACTGAGGCTCTGTTAGGATGTTTTTTGCGGATGCCATTTTTGTGCCCGTTATTCGGAGGATAGCCCCGTAGGCATTTGTTTTTAAATAACGTACAGAAATTGCACGGCAACTGAACATCAAAATACAAAAGCCGCTGAGACATGTAATAATTTCAAAAACGTATGGACTCATACAGTAACACTCTTTCCCAAAAGAGACATTTGGTGCGTGAGATGGAGAGACATTTGGTGGGGGAATGGAGAGATATTTTGTGCCGGAGATGGAAAGACATTTGGTGCGGGAGATGGAGAGACATTTGGTGTGGGAAAAGGAGAGACATTTGGTGCGGGAGATGGAGATACATTTGGTGCGGGAGATGGAGATACATTTGGTGCGGGAGATGGAGAGACATGTGGAGCAGGAGAGTGAGAGACAGTTAGTGCGGGAGATGGAAAGACATTTGATGTGGGAAATGGAGAGACATTTGGTGCGTGAGATTGAGAGACATTTGGTGCGTGAGATGGAGAGACATTTGGTGCGTGAGATGGAGAGACATTTGGTGCGGGAGGTGGAGATACATTTGGTGCGGGAGGGGGAGATACATTTGGTGCGGGAGATGGAGAGACATTTGGTGCGGGAGATGGAGAGACATTTGGAGCAGGAGAGTGAGAGACAGTTAGTGCGGGAGATGGAAAGACATTTGGTGTGGGAAATGGAGAGACATTTGGTGCGTGAGACGAAAAGACATTTGGTGCGGCAGATGGAGATACATTTGGTGCGGTAGATGGAGAGACACTTGGTGCGGAAGATTAAAGGACAGTTGGTGCCGGAGATGGAGAGACACTTGGTGCGGGAGATGGAAAGATATTTGCTGCGGGAGATGGGGAGACAGTTGGTGCGGGAGATAAAAAGACATTTGGTGCGGCAGATGGAGAGACGTGGTGTTGCGGGAGATGGAAAGACATTTGGTGTTGGGGATGAAGAGACATTTGGTGCGGGAGTTGGACAGACATATGTGCCGAAGATGGAGTGACGTTTGGTGCAGGAGATTGGGCAACCATTGCTGCTTGCGATGAACATCAATGTGTTTGCTTAAATGCTACGGTGTCTACTCCTACATCTTTGATCATTAACCAAAATATACTGTATCACGTAGCCCATTGGCAAAGATCATTTGGCACAACAACTTGGCGCGTAATCAAGCAAACGACGAAACGAAAATCCTTGTCCCGATTTACACTCCCCGCAATTCCTTGCTGGCGCTGGAATTTCCCTTTGGTCCTATTGAGATAAGCGAGGTCTATTTCGCGGGAAAATTCGCTTCGCAACGTCGGTCATTCGATCTGACTTTTAATACTGTCCCGAAACTTTATTTACTGCTGCTGTTTTCTTGATGTAGGAGTGAGGAGAAAGTAATCGAGTCGCTCACAAAAATTGTTCGGCTAGAATCTTTGAGTATCTCTGTCGAGTCTGTTACGACTTTCAAAGAGCTTGCTTAAATTTTTGTGAACAATAAATAGAGGGCCAGAAATATATTCATCCATCGAAATTTGTAAAACAGGAAGGGCCAATTTTACGTCAGTGAGGCCCTAAACAGATAAGTCATAATTTCTTATACACCATCGGCACTCTACGCTCGCCTGCGGATCGGAAGGTCGTGGGTTGAGGCCCTGACAGGGCCGAAAATTTTTTTATTTTGACCTTTGCTTCCAGGTCGATAAAGCTTTGAATGGGTACCAGGCACAGTCCAGGGAAGTAAAGGTAGCCGGTGTGATGTTTACCACATCAATAGTCGAATGCCAGTTGGTCTATGAAATATTCATCTAATCCTAAACGCCCAATATGCCTTTAAGCTAGGAAAATTCTTCTTTACTTTTTCACTGGCACTTTGTTAGTAAAGTAGTCAAATCTTGGCGGCAGCCTATGCCTCCCAAGACATTACCTTTGAACCATTTTAATTTAGGCGGATGTTGGAAACAAACTAAATTTGGAGGGGAAGAAGATTCACCTTGATGCTGATTCAAAGACAAGATAGTCGGGGCCACGGGCGAATCGTCTAGCTACTAATATATCACGGCTTGTCTGTCGAGTCCACCAGTCATCTGTTAGATCTCAGCGTTTGCGGCTTAGTCGACGTGAACCCGCTTCGAACTTTAGGGGGCCGGGTTCGATCTTAGCAGCCGGCGAATTGGTGACAGACCGCCTTGCTTTGGTTGCTACAGTGGCATTTAGAGCCGACTGTTCACAGGAGGTGGTAAACTAAAGACCTACAACTCATAGTGAAACCATAAACAGTCAAGAAATGCTGCGGTTAGTTTTGCGACGTACCGAAAAGTATACGGAACTTACTATAAGATCATCCAGCCCACATTTTATACTTGTCTGAATGTCTGTCTTCTGGTATGTCTGTCTGTGTATGCAGTTACATAAGTATTCCCTGGCGACCTGACTTTTGTCTGTGCTACATGTCTGCCTATTTACTTGCACGTCTACTAGTCTGACTATGTACTAAAATACCTGTTGGTTAGGATACAATGTCTGTCTGATTGTTCGCCTGTCTGTCCATCTCTCTGCATGCCTGCCTGTCAGTCTGTTTCTACGTGTGTCTGTCAGTCAGTCAGTCGTCTGTCTTTCTGTCTGTCTGTTGTCATTTTATCTGCCAGGCTGTAAGATTTCTGTCTGTAAGTAAATTTGTGTCTGTCTCGCCACCTGTCCGTCCTTCTGTGTATCTGTGTATCCATAAGCTAGTCTGTCTTTTCGTTTGTGTATATTTTCCTCTTATCCGTTTATCATAAATGAATTTTATGCGTTCACAAATCCATCCATCTGGATGTCTATCGGTCATTTTGTCTTTCAGTCCAAACGTTACCCATTGATCATCGCTGGCTGTATAAAGCTGGAAATCGTTTCACAAGTGACATTGTATAAAACCGTATAAATGTCTACACAAACAAAACACATCAAGTCTGATACTGGAGTCACTTACTTTCTGTCTGCCAACACACGCGCCCGCTGAAGTCAAACAAGCAATTTTCACCCGCTATAGCCAAACAAGCAATTCACAACGGAGCTATCAAATAGGCGTCACAGAAACGAATGAAGTAGCTCCAGTAATTGCATTAACTGTGCTCTACCCGCGTTTGGCAAATTCTGATCAAGAAAAATCATAGTAATTCTTCACTGAACCGGTATAATAGACATCACTGTTTGCAAGTCGTGGAAGGAGCTCGTTTACAACGATTCTTGCTATTAGATCGATCAGAAACATTTTTGTTAGTAAGTGAAGGTATTTTGTGTACTTAGAGGTTAGCGAATGCGGTTGGATGAGAGGAACAAAAATCCCTTCTGGTGGTTTTCTGACGTTGGTACAAGAGTTGCAACCGTGGAAGAGATTGAGGCTTCACCCCGCTGTATGCTGAAAGCCAACAGTTGTATTTTTAAATTTTTTTAATTTGCGTCAGTAAGGCTTTGGAGATAAAACACTAAAACCATATTGTACAAACTAATTGTCACTTGAATAAGGCCAAAATCCCTTTAGTCGCCTTGACTTCCCATGACATTAGATGGTACCTGTTTTGGGCTGCGTCAAACCCGGGATCCAAGGTTAATTCTGAATAGCAGAAAAAATCCATTTGTTGAGGA